AAACGGTACTATCGTGTCACTCCCGTCTGCTCTTGGCCTCGGAACACATTTGTTTTACATTGAAAGGCATAGAATTTGACCAAAACACACACTGCAAAGTCACAAGCAAGTTTCTAGCAAAGCTGTTGAGGTCAGGGGTCACATGTGGGTCCACACGTGTGCACAGCGCCTCCCAGCGGTTCCATAACTTAGTGCAGCGTTAACTGGTCTGGCCAGTTGCCGCAACTTATTTTCGACATTCTGTCGTTTTGCTTCATTTTTACTTAAAGAGGATTTATCTAAAATGGTCAGGAGAGTTTCAGCGACAATTTGAATTGCGACTTACCACCAAAGCGGACGTGGTACGTCTTCCTGGGCGAAATTTTTACCCGCTCGTTCTCCCAAGTCCTGCACACTCGCCATCTTGAACGGCGTGTTTCACGCACAGGTGGTGCGTGCCACCTGTAAATCCTGAGCAAAATTTGAATTCGATAATTAAGTTAACATCAGATTAACAACAGGCCAATGAAAAATCATCCCACATGCAGGCCTGAAAACTACAATGATTTAATTTTATCTTATTCGAAATTCTCCACTTAATTTAAATCAAAATAGCATACGGCAAAAGTATATAACAGTTAACGTTACCTGGAACGGGAACGTCTACTGTTTATCTATATGATGCAGAAATCGTTATACAATTAGAAAGTTTACACATTTTGAGACATTTAATAGCTTTCTGTTTTTCAAAGCTGTCAAGACATGATGAGTAATTGATGGGAGAATTGAGTGATTGCGTTTATTTGGGAAACAGTTTATTAAATTACTATGGAAACGCCATGGAAACTACATGTAGTGTATTTTACTTAAAGATAAAGCAATTTTTTTTACAACAAGGGCATATATCCATTCCATATACATGTATCCATAACATCTTAATTAACAGAATTCTCCCATTGTTGATAATAGAGGAAACATTGGCCTACCTGTTGATAATATTAGGATGTCTAGAATCCACAGAGACACACATGAATGACACAGAGCCTTTTGTTTTAACTTCAAACAGAGCTCTATTCAATGTGACAAAAACATGATTCAAGCATGCATATTCTCAGCTTTTCCATCAGCATCCTGTAAGTCACTACAATATAATTTACAGAAACACATGATTTTGGTACTGCTGAAAAATTGCCATTTCAATGTAACGTTAACACAGGATACATTTTTACATGTATCCTGCCTTTGACTTCAACTGCATAACAAAATGTCAGCAGATATACTCCATTTGGTTGTGTAAGTAAGAACTCAGTATAAATGACAACCAGGTCATGACAATGTAGCACCAGAACAGATAACTCTTGATAATTGCCAACAAGAAATAATTTTAATGTGTACCATCAAGGTAACACGTAGGCAACATAATCAATTAATGGTAAGATGAAATTTCAAGCTGGAATGGTGATGATATTGTTTGTCTATCTTGGTCAATGATGACCTTGACTTCAGTTGTCCTTGGAATGGTAAGTAAAGATATTCTGGTATACTTGTACATGAGTCTTTCAGATGCCGCCTCCTTTACCAAAGGCAAATTGCAACATTTAACAACCTGTAATTTGATTAAAGGAGCATAACATGCAGATGCCATGAGAAGTAAAAGCTATCAGCAAAAACACAGATATTTACTGATGCACGAAATCAGTTTGACAACAGGAATGACAAGAAACTGGCTCAAGCTAGGGGCAAAAAAACTCACAAAAATATACATCAAACTCTGATACAACAATATAAAGTTCAGCATCTTTGGAACTACTCCTATACAATTTCGCAGTAGATAAAGCTCTCTAGAGACAATACAACAACAAAGCAGCTCTTCTCAAATATCAGTAAAACACAGGTACTTGGCAAGGGCTATATTTGGCAGAAATATCCTACTAAAAGATTTGCTCACAAGCTTTGGTCACACAACAGTAATGATCCTTCTCATGTGCTCCACCTAGCAGTTCACTGGAGAAGTGCAACTTATAGAAGTGCTTGAGAAGAATTAATAACAAATCATTTTGCTGACCAGCTAATACATACAGCTAGTACAAATGTATCCTTATGACATTTGAATATCTCTTGCATATGAACATGGCACTTCAAACTATCAAAGTCATCAAATACAACAAAAAACAATAATGCCACAGAAATCTGCATTGCAAACTACAGTGCACTAAATGCAACAGTTTCCTAAAATATTGCCATGGCAAAGCCTTGCAATGCTTTTTAAAATTACTTAAAATACTGGCACTTTTTTTTACAAGCATACAAGTAGTTTTTACCATGTCCTCTTCTCAAAGTATTTGTTTCAACTTGCAAAAAGGATTCTCTTAGGAAGCCCCGTAATGTTTTTCTTCTTGCGTAAACAAAGCTACAAGTTCCTACTTTTTTCACAAAGATGCAGACAGGCAAGTGGTGTGTTTGCTGTTGTTTTCACTTTTCACTTCATTTTTCAAAAACGTACAGACTTCTGAAAACTTTGCCTGTTTCCACATACTTTTTTTCGATCATGATCCAAAAACAATGTCAGACTAACCCTACAGTCTCGTGTCTTCATAGACATAAATAATTGCTTATATAGTTCACACAACTATTCAACAAGCAGTAGTTGTATCTTCTTTAAGTTCAAACATCACGATCAAAATCTGACATAGCAAAGCAGTTAAACTGTCCTTCAACACTACAGACTAGTCTTGACACAAACTTTCTCTTGAGATCTGAGCCTTCTTTGCCTAATAACATGTGATCTTAGCCATACAATGTACGTAATCTAGCACTTAAGAAATAACCAAAACAATTGTTGGCTAAGATAAAGCAAACAATAACAACAATGACGATTAACTCCAGTTGTCAGTTTCTTTCTCAATGTTAAGAGGAAATCTTCTTCCTCTCGAGTCACTAGTCAAAATTGAGAAAGTGAGAGTAATTTACCAACCCAAAATTTTGACAACTCAATATTAAGACTCAAAAAAAGCATGGTTAATGGCATTTTAAAAAATGCCTTCATGATTTGTTACAAGCTTCTACTTCTTTCCTGGTGAAAAAAATGCAACTAAACAATTTAGACCATTGAGTTTTCACAATGGTTTTCATGATCTTACCAAATAAAATGACAAGGCTTCTAATTTTTGTAAGGCCTAGGAAAATAAATGTTGTGTTTCCTGTTTCCCGACCGACCCTAAAAAAAACCGCCGACCCTAGCCTTATTTTTGTGTGGACCCCTGCATATTGCTGAACCAAAACATTTTGCACTACGCTACCGAGAGAATCGCTGTCATTGGTGGAACATCGGGCGCCCCGCTAGCGTTTTGAAGTCGTGTAAACAACGCTAATAATTTGTCTGATTTGTTTGTAAAACAAAGCCATCGACTCCAAAAATAAGTTTAAAAGCCGATACATTTACGAACTAATCGTAGAAAATTCCCTACCGTACTGCACCATCAGCATGCGGCGGCCGCAAAAATTCGGCAACGCGAAAGAAAAATGTCTGGTCCATGATAGCAGTATTTCTCATAAAAATAATGTATATGATTTATTTTTCCCCCTTTGTCGGTCTTTTAGTCCCAAAACGTCTAAAAAAGCGGAAATTTGCCCATAAAACCGGACGAGGAAAGGTACTAGTAGCTGTCGACGTAAACAAATTATTAGCACATGGCGAAAATCAGCAAAATCGGCAACGGGACAGAAAAATGCCTGGTCCATTTATCGATATTTACCATGAAAATGTCGTCTGTGGTGTATTTTTCCTCTGATGTGAGTTTTTAGGTCGCAAAACCTCTAAAAAAGCAGAAATTTGCCCACGAAAACGGACTGGCAAGGCATTCACGAGTTGCACATTCCCAGGATCCTTTGCGCCCAGGGTAGGTCACGTGGGCGTCAGGGTAGGGAAAGGTCGCGGAAAACCACGTGACTCATCCTCGGCTCTGGTCGGAAGAAGTCGGAAGTGTTCGCGAGCGCTCGGAAATTTCAAAAATGGCTGACACCACTGCCGGCGGCGGGAGGCACGTAGTTTTTCACGGCGTTCGTACGGCAAAGCGGCATCGAATTTTTGCTCCATGACTATCGGTATTGGATAGGATAGGGTTGATTCAACATACTACGTGAAAATGTGAATGCTCCCAGCCAGATATCGCTTAGGGCACCTTCTTCCGACCAGAGCCGAGGATGAGTCACGTGGTTTACCGAGACCTTTCCCTACCCTGACGCCCACGTGACCTACCCTGGGCGCAAAGGATCCTGGGAATGTTCAACTCGTGAATGGGGGAGGGCACTGTTGACGCCTGCATGACCCCCAAAGGTTGAAGGTCATAGGGCACGTCCATTGCGCAATAACCTTAAATCGCCGATTTACTAGTAGCTAATTTTTTGGGGTTTCAAATTGATACAATCACACTATCGATTTTTAGGCAAACAAAGGGATAGAAACTAATTAAAATTTTGTGCAGATTAATTTTTTTTTTTCTTTAGAATTCTTTTTTGTTTCTTTTTTTTCTCCCAAATCCCTGGGAGAAACCTGTAGACTTGAATCAGGACCTGAATCTGAATTTAGCCCTGCAAGGGCTAGGGACATCTGTTAAGTTCTTCGAGCTGATCGACCGTTTAAAGCTCCATGATCTGACACCTGAGTACCTGAGTGATGAAATATAATATTGCACAATCGATTTTTCATCATGTTCTGCTTATATAAACACAGCAATCAGCAAAGTCTAAAAAAAAATAAAAATAAAAATAAAATAAGATAATCCCTACCTACCGACCCTAATTTTTTCTGGACTGAAACAGGAAACACAACATTTTTTTTCCTTGGCCTAATTTCTAAAACTATTTGATTGTTCACTTGACACAAAGCTTATTTGTAGCTTGAGTAAAGTTTAAACAACAAATAATGTTTTTAACTTCATATTTGTATCATAAAGCTTTCCCTGAACAAATCTTTGTTCTTCTCTGTACATGGACTGTTCCAACTACATTGTCATTGAGGGGGGGGGGCGGGTTCATCTACTTTGAAAATGCTAACCCATCAATGAGCTCATTCACATCCGACCAATCAAAGTCATGGAACATCAGGTCGTCCATTTGATACTTTTTCGAGTGCCTTTTCTTTTCCGCTGCTATCCTGGTCATGGCGGGCGAATCCTCGGCCTCGTTCTTATCGATGAGCCTCGGGGCGTACCTCCTGGCCAAGACGTCTTCAAACGACAACTCCTGGAAGAACGTCTCCTCTTCGAGGACCTCCAGGGTCTGAAGTCTCTGTTTGGGGTCCTTCTGCATGAGTTTGGAGACCAGGCAGTTGGCGGGAGTGGAGAGCTCCTGGAGTGGTTTGAAGTAGAAGCCAGCCACACGATCAGCCATGGCGGTGTGGTCGATAGCTGCCTCGATGGGATATCTACCTGTAGGGAGAGAAAAGAATAAACTGTATGATGAATACAACATCTTTTTAAGAACAAGGCATACATTGAACATCTTGAGGTTTTTTTTTGACAGATTCTTACAAATCTCATTATCATTTCTTATCTGCAGTTATGTGACTGTGAATGTTTTAAAAGCTTCATGGAAAAAGGACAAATATTTTTACAGAATACTTTGTCCAATGTACATCAAACAAATCCATTTCTGGAAACAGTTATGATGAAATAGAATATTTACACTGAGTGTGCAATAGCAAAAAAGTCATCAATAAACTCAACTTTGTAACGTTCGAGAACTGAATGTAGAAATGGAAAGTCCTGTCAGCTGTAGATTTTGTCAATAGATGAAAAGGGCAAAAGTTCCTACGTTCACTTTAATTGAATGATCTACTTTACAATCAGTGTACACTCTCTCATTCTTCCCTGTCTTTTTTTCCAGATAACCCTAGGTTACAATTTAGAGCAAAAACAAATCTATACGATCCATACACCAGACAATTCTCCCATTAAAAACATGACTCAACATACCCGACAACAGGGTATAGATGAGCACTCCAAAGGAGTACCAGTCGCAGGCGTGAGTGTAGGGCTGGCCCTTCAGTATCTCCGGAGCCATATACTGCATGGTCCCGCATATGGTCCTGGTGAAACTGCCCAGAGTCAGCCACTTGGACAGCCCGAAGTCTCCAAGCCGGACGTGCCGCTTGTCGTCTAAGAGGATGTTCTCCATCTTGAGGTCTCGGTAGATGACGCCGGCGCTGTGGAGGAAGTCGAGTCCGAGGGCGATCTCGGCGGCGAAGATCTGCACGACGGGCTCCTGCATGGGCGCCTCCAGCGTCCAGATGGTGAAGAGGTCGCCGTGAGGGATGTAGTCTGCGACCAGGAACAGGTCCTTACGGGTCTGCCAGCAGTAGTACACCTGGAATAGGCATGAAAAAGATATTAAATTGCAGTCCAGCCAGCAGTTCTTGTGATCATTAGCCAAAAAGACAAATAAAAATCAAACAACTCTGAGCCCATGTATGTACGTACATACATAAGTATAGCAAACAGCTATCTTTCCCGATACCAAATAATTTGACAGCTTTCTTTTTCTGCACCTGCCGCCACCGTGAACACTTCCAGTTTTCTCAGACTGTGAACATTTGCTACCCTGAACATAAAGTCTATAGTACAGTACGTAACTTAGGTGCTAGATACATGTACTTGGCCATACAGTGTACAGCTATCAGTCACAATACAGCAATTCATACAATAGCAAACAACCTGGCTCTGTGTCCTTCTAATTCTATCTCTCCCCATTAACTTAGCCGTTACAAATAGACTGTAAGACCCCCAAACTTTACCCACCTGCACCACAAACGGGTGATGGCCGAGAAGAGTCTGGATGCTGGCCTCATCCTTGACCTGTTGCACGGCGTTGTACCGCATCACCTCCGACTTCGGCATCAGTTTCATGGCGTACACTTTCTTAGAGTCACGCTTCTCCACTTTTAGGACCTCCCCGAACGCTCCTTTGGCGATGATGCCGATCACATCAAAGTCCCGCTCTGTCACGCCCTGTTTTATCCCGTACTCTGGCAGGAAGAGTGCCTCCAGTTGGGGCACTGGCCATGAGGTCCGTGCCAGTCTGTGGAACACATAGAAAATGAAAATATGTGTCAATCCAGTTTATTTTATTTAAAAGAGGGCCATATGACTCAAGGTTCCAGTCCAACCACAGGTCAGATCGCCGATGGCCGAATCTATTCATGTTATACCCGCCCAAGAAAACATGTGCTTCAATGCGAAATGTGGCAATAGTTGAGAAAATTCGCTGTCCCTAAACAAAAAATTGTAACAACGTCAATTCCACTGTTTGAATCTGGTATTTGAATTTTTAAAACCACCCCATATGTTGACTGCCATCCACGTTCAAATTATTCTATGGAACTTTCGGAAGGTTATGTGATAATCATTAGAGCCCTGTGTGATATGGGTAGTTATCACATGGGCCAAAACACCCTGCTGCAAATATGACATAAAAGACAATAATAAGTCTAATACATTCTACTAAGGCACAGTACCTGTACTCGTTGGTGAGTGTGGAGTGCTTGCGTCTGCGTCGTGAGGCTCGCAGCCATTTCCTGTGCAGACTATCAGTACTGCTGTACAGACTGCCGCAGCTGGCCGGCCGGCGCGGGAGACTGGCCTGACTCTGTGTACGGGACGGCGCCTGGACGCTGTGTCTGCTGCTCACCTGAGGGGAGAAGAGAGGTGTCAGGAACAGCAAGGTCCAGGCCGATAATCTCCAAGCAGATCTTTCGGTGGCCGCAAAAAAAAATTGGCCAGGCAGTATCCATTAGCCAGACCCATTTGGTGGCTTAATGGACACTCTGGCCAGTGCATACTGCCTTACCACTGTATGATCTGCTTGGAGATTACAGGCCGAGCCTTAGTAGAGAGAAGAACAAAGTGTTTTGCTATGTACTAACAGTAGGTACAAGAAGTAGTCCCAGTCTAGAAAAGAAAAAATAGAAATCACAAGAACATCTTTCAGCTTTATCAATATTATCACTATTGAGGGGTTTAGATACATGTACATGCACTTTAATTGCTATATAGCAGTAGATGCCATATGTTCGGTTGTACCACTCATACAAAGTACACATATAACTGTTGCAGAATACCTCATTACCATCAAATTCAATAGGTACTTCTTTATTTTGTAGCTAACACATGGACCTGCACATACATGTATATCTATACAAGAGGATTGTAGGTTATTCTGTGTAATACAGGTGTTGTGGAGTAGAGAAGTTATAATGTATACTGATTAAGAATGAAACAAACGTACGCTGAAGCTGACCTTGTTGCCCATGACGAGAGGCTATCTGTTGGGGTACGATGCCATCATCCTTCCTTCAGCCCACGCAGGCAAGACTGGCATCACCCAAGTCCATACAACATTGTACAACCCCTGCTGAAAAGAAGAGATTATGGTTCAGAGTCTTTTCCAAGAAATTCCTAGCCACATGATTTGCAGATCAAAGTACAGAATACAGTCATTATTTTAGATCCTAACCCTAGTCCTGCGGGACCCATATATATATATATATATATATGGGTTGCACATACAGTACGTTCTATATAGTGCCCTGTGTATGTACGATTTGGGGGTGTTTCTCGTGCAATGCATCACACCGCAGCAAAACGCAACGAATGCGGAAGTAACTACGCCACCGCAGGGCAAAAAAAGTCAGCGGTCTGTGACCTGATTACGACTTCAATTTACTTAAAAATATTATTTAAAAAAGTCCAGCAGGACAAGGGCTAATTGGAAAATAATTCTGACCAAAGGATAAAAACTAGTATTCGAACAATAAGAAAATGGCTGCATACTGTTGAAGTTTTGTATTTCTGTGTTTTCATTTAAGTCTTGTTTTCTTTTGCAGAAAAGGGTGTGGCTATCCAATTTGGCCTATTCCCAGCTAGTCTACAAAGCTTGTTGTTATCCACAAGCACTTCAATCGACTTTGGAGAAAAGCCAGACAACCAAAGACTAGGTCTGATACAGCTGTTTTAAATGATGCAGTAGTTTAAACATGGATGTCTGCCAAAACTTTAAGCTCACAAGCCTGCAGAACAACATTTCCACCAGACTCAACTGTAGTTGGCATTATTATATTGTGGAGGGAAAAAAAAGGTGGATCTGTGAAATTCTAACCTAGGTACCTCTAAATAATTTTTTCACTTTTTGAGGAGATTAAGATAGGAAATACAAAATACACACTTTTTGGAAATACTAGCAGACAAAAATTTGGAAATACACACTGTATAAATTGTTTTTGTGCAGGTATTTCAGAAGTTTTGAGGTAAGGTAATGCTGACATTCTGACCAAAAAATCTTGAATGCATCTACATGTACTACATAAAAAGGATGTTTATTTTTTCAAGTGCGAAAACTGATGAGAACACTGCTCCAGACAAAAAAAACACACCCTTACCTTCGCAGTGAGCTGCTGTAAGTGTAACTGTCTGGCGTCTACAGTCCCTTCCCTCTGCCCAAGGCCTCCTGTCTTATTAGTCTGAGCTGCCGATCCAGACTGTAATCAAGGATTTGCTCGGGGTTCTCCGCTATGATTACATTAGCTCCCCGCTACACTTGTCTTTGTGTCCCTCCTGGATTTGTATTCTGTGAAGCAGAAACAGGCAGGATGTGAGATGCAGGCCAAAACCTCGGGGCAGACTTTGCGGAGACTGAACATGTAGATATGGACCGACGGTGTTACACGGAAGAGCGTTTCAAAACCATATCATGTCTTTTAGTCCTCCCCGGCATGACTAAATTGCTTTTACAGCGAAGGATTTTCTCGATAAATTCTACTTGTTGGGAATGTCATTATAGTCATTTTTAGAAGATGACACCTAATTTCTGAGTAGTAATAACATATATTTTATTGTCTCTTGCATCTCTGTATGGGGCCTGCGTGGGTGTATGCAAAATTCTTAGAGCTAATTATGCATCTTGTTATAAAGAAAAAAATTATACTTAACATTGAATCATGACAGTTTGTAATAAACTTCAAAGAATATTTATGGTTAAAAGGAATTGTAGATTGAATGCATCACCTTTAGCATGCTTATCTGATACTGTAATTCACAATTTTTATTTTGCGGTTTTCGTGGTCACTTCTGAACCGCAAACTTATCATTACCCTGAATAAATAATTCTCCAACTTTCTTTTTTCCGCACTTGCTGCCACCGGAAACATATACTAGTAGTTCCACGAACATGTCCATTTCTCTCAGACCGTGAACTTTTGTACTGCCAGTGAATTTAAACAGGTTGTTTTTTCTCTAGTAGCTGTATCACTTTGCTTTCAAGTCAGCAGAGAGAGAGAGAGAGAGAGAGAGATCTAGAGAGAGAGAGCCTCAGTTAGTGATGCATACCGGTTCACTGGACTTGGATCCGGACTTGTAAGAATGTTTAGGTTCAAGTCCAAAAAAACCTAAAAGTCAAGAACCGAGTCCGGCCTTATTACCATAAAAGACCATTTCACATACCCCTTTTCTTTCCAAACCACCTAAAACCTTCCGTAGATTGCAAAATCTTTGCTGCAAAATGAAGAAAACATTGCCATCGGGCATTGTCAAGTACCGGACTCCATGTTGTGTGGCCAAAGTTTCACCCAGACAACATTGCAAGGTTGCCAACATGCAATTTTGTATATATATAATGCCATGGCTTTAGATCCAGACTTACAAGTACGGAACTGAACCTAATCCTCTGGACTTGAATCTGGACCTGAACCTAAAATTGGGTTTAGGTATGCATCACTAGTCAGAGTTGATGCACCTCTTCCAATCCATATTCCACAAGTGTCACTATTGTAACACCCAGAGAGAGCCACTTTGGGGGAATGCCAAGTTCACCATTACATGTGGGGAGCACTTATGCATGATGAAAGTCAATCGTGTGACAAGGGCAGGGGACTATGTCACCATGAAATTTCTCCATTTGTTGCATGAATAATCATAAACGCTGTCAATAGTTTGCACGTTTTTCACCTCACAGGCAATTTCTTCTATCGGGGATAAGAGAAGAATATAGACATATGGATGAAAATGCATTGCAGCTTTTGATATATTCATCTTGGCGTGAAATGGATAAAAATGGTTATGCCGACATGGCCATAAATATTCTTTCCCCCACAGACAATTATGGATAGAAGTTATGATCATATCTGTACAATAAGCAGCCAATTAGCATGGAAAGATATTAAAATTTATCTAGGGATGTACCAAGAGAGATTTGGGGAGGGGGGTGGATAAAATTGTCAGAATGAAAATATGTGTGAACCATATTCACCATGGAAGAAGGGAGACATGTACGAGTGACTACTGGTAGTCAAAATAAAACAAAAGGCTATGACCAAAAAATAAATGTTGTGTCATTTATAGTTCTTAGATTGATTATTTGAGTGAGTTCTAAGACTGCTACTTTACAAACCACTAGGCTGAAAAATATGTAAATTTTGCTTCATTTTGCAAAGCTCAAAGTTACGCTGTCAAGCTAAATTCATGTGAACCAACAACCTTTAAAATTGATACAATTTACCTGCCTGGTGACCTAGAACAGGCTCTGGAGAAATCCTTGGTAAAAATCCAGCCAAAAAAGATCAAAGAGCGCTAATATTACCTTGGATGGGTATTGAAGATTTCGTTGCTAGACTTTCGAATTCACTTAAGCTGGCTGCACTTGAATTTGGCCCAGTGATCTTTCTTCAAGCATTCATTCCCTGGGGAGATTTCTGTGTAATAAACATGCATGTGCTGCATCTAAAGTCTGTACTTAAGTGCAGGTTATGCAGAGAGTTTTATCTTCTTTTATGGGTTGATAAAACGACGTGACTATGAATTTGTTGCATTGTAAGACAGAATGAGACATATGGTAACAAAAACTACTGTAATTCCTGATTTTTTCACTGTATTTTTATGTTCACTGTTTCCCCAGGCACTTCTATAGTGCAAAATTATCATATTAACCATTAATAAATAATTCTCCGGCTTTCTTTTTTGCACCTACTGTCATCGTGAACATACTGTTCCTTGAACACTTCAATTTCTTCTCAGACTGTGAACTTGTGCTTCCGTGAAAATAAAGTGAATTAGAGTTATCAACCCAAACTTAGTTGCCTGCTTCCATGTCGTAATAAATGATACAACATGAAGACACAAATCTTGAAATTTCAATTTTTACATTTCAATTTTATTAAGAATAGTCAACATAGCAGGGGTACATAGTACTCCTGAATTGTGTGGACTTTACATATTATTGGCTAATGGCTAATAATCTATTTTTCCATATGATGTAAACAGCATTTCTGAAAAATAAAAAAAGCTTTTGTTGAAAATTTGTCCTTAGGCCACACCAATTTAATTTGGTTCACGGAATCGCCCACTTCATTTTTTTCTGATTTGTAAAAAAAAAAAAAAAAACATGTAAGCCTCTGAATCAACTCCAAAATGCTCATATTTTGGCCCCCTCAGTTGAAGGAAGTCCCTTCTCTTCAGAGTTGTTACAGTTTTTCCTTCTATCAATGCAGTGGTTTGATTTAAAAGTTTTAAATTCATTGCTTGAATTACAAAGTAGCCTGGTATGTTGACTTTAGGCCACACCAATTGGTTAATGGATTCGCCCGCTTCATTTTTTTCTGATTTGAAAATAAAAATAAAAATTCAGAATCAACTGCAAAATGCTTATATTTTGCCCTGAACAGTTGAAAACAGTCCTTTTCTTCCTAGTTGTTACAGTTATTCCATCTTCCAATGGAGTGGTATCATTAAAAGTTCAAAATTCATTGTTTAAATTTTGAACCAGCCTGGTGTGTTGACTTCATGGCTCCTATTGTACCATTTTGGGCCATAATAGGATGCCTAGGCCTGTTTTTATTTTTATTTTTTTTCGCCCGCCCGCTCCATTATTTTTCTAGAAAAATCCATTAACCAAGAAATTAAATTGGTGTGGCCTTATGACTCTCCTATCATAGCATTTGGGGCTATCATAGGATGCCAAGGTCTGTTCTATTTTTTTTTTTTTTTGGACCCTGTCGCTTCATATTTTTTTTGAAGAAAACTGACAACCAACAAATCAAATTGTGGCCTTCTCACTGTTTCCAGACCCACCCTTCAGTTAAACGTTGAATCCCGTGCAGAACTGTACAGTAACCAGACACTTGACCTTGCCAGTGACTCCTACCCACAAATGGCACTTTGCCTTTCCAAAAGGGCTGTTGTGTTAGCCAAGTGAGGTACATTTAACACACGCCCTTGACTTTGGGACTATCCAGTTAGGCTACAGCAAGTAATTTTTATGGATGACATCGGCGCACGCATTAATTTTCGCCTGATTTTGGGAAAAAAAACAAGAAATTTTGTTGCCTTCTGACAGTGGCCAATATG